CATTCATAGAATGGAATAAACCATCTGCAAGGACAAACCTGAGTCAAAGAAAATACCCCAAGCTGTATGAGAGGCACGGGTACTCCTATACGGTGCTTCGCACTAATATCAATGGAAGTGGTGAGTTATAGTAAAACTCATATTACTACAACAAACAATTGCAATGTTTCTAATTAATCTTTACTATCTACGGTTACCAGGCGGTGTTCGGTGCGGAGGAAAGGAAATATATGCCCGGCCAAGTTATACCAAACAGAAGATGATTTTAATCGAAATGGTTTAAATCATACTCACGAACCTAGACCAAACGAACGACCCCGCGTCCTTCTCAACAGGGCAGTTTTGAAGCGCGGGTTGGAAAATCCATACACGGCATGTGGGATCATTACGAAAGCGGCAAGGAGAGACATGACCAACCCGCCTTCTATAAGATTCACTAATGTAAGTATCGTTGTAATTAGTTGACCAATTTTAGTAGTGATTTTCAGTGTACTTAATTTTCATTTTTCTACCTTTCCCTTTCGGGAAGGAACATTGAAGAGGTTCTGCAATAGGGAAAGACGGGGAACAGACCCACAGATCCATCAGACATTAACGATGAGTTGAAAATAGATTATTTACCTACTGATTTTTCATTAAAAGATATCAGAATAGAGGGATCGCGTCACCTTTTGTTCGCAACCCAAAAGCAATTGAAAATTTCGGCCAATTCAAAAGTTCGGTACATGGACGGTACTTTTGATGTTGTTAGGGACTCGTATTATCAACTCTTTTCAATTCACGCATTCGTTCGAAGTGGTGAATGTACCAAACAACTGCCCCTCGTTTTTGTTTCAATGTCAAGGCGACGTAAGTGTGATTATGAAAATGTTTCCAAGGCTATCAAAACTATACTGCATTTAAATTTTTCAGGTACTCGTGTGAAGAAATTTGTCATGGACTTTGAAGCAGCAACATGGCAAGCACTATCTCTGGTATGGCCGGATGTGAGAAGGCAGGGATGTGCATTCCATTTCACTCAGGCCATCATGAAGAACATGCGACACAACAAATTAGCAAGTTTGTATAACAAGTAAGTAATTCAGTGCTCATATGCATTCATGTGTTTATATCATTAACGTTTTGTTGAATATGTAATTTCCATTTTTCAGGGACATCGGGACGAGAGATTTAATAAGCAAGTCATGGCCCTGTGTTATATTCCAGATATGTTCATCCTGTCGCTGTTCCTATCTCTGCGAGGCAAAATGACCACCGACGGGTTGAATAGATTTACCTAATATTTCGACAGGACATGGCTGAAGAACTCAGTTTGGAAACCAAAAGACTGGTCAGTATTCGACGTCGACGTTAGGACTAACAACCATTTGGAAGAGTGGCATCGGTACTTCAATAGCATAGAACGAACAAATATGCCTTTTTATAGCCCTATATCCAAGATTCACGAGGTCAGCATTGCGGTGGAATCAGATGTAGCAGAAGTAATGGAGGAAAATATACCAAGACAGGCTGACGCAAAATACAGCGAGGCAAATGACAAGCTGAAGGAAGTTTGGAGTGTTTTCAAGGACGGAGGATTATCTGCGGAGGCTCTCCTTCGAAGATGTTCAAAAATCTACGGCCCGACCTTTTGTAAAGAGTGAGTAACCTAGTGTGAGTATTTGTCCGCTTCCTCAGTTTTTTTTCCATGTACAGCTATGATGCCTATCTGTGCTTGGGTTTCTTCTGATAAAAAGAAATTCTGACTCGAAGGCTGAAACCTTGTCGTGGTGAGTTGGCTTAACACTAATATCAGCCGACATCAGGGCAATCGACAATTATATAGAAAATAGACATGGCGAGTTAGCCCTCTCTCTCTCGTGACGTCGATCGTCAATTATAAAGAAAATAGACATGGCGAGTTAGCCCTCCCTCTCTCTCGAACGCGCGATGTCGATCGTCAATTATAAAGAAAATAGACATGGCGAGTTAGCCCTCTCTCTTTCGCGATGTCGATCGTCAATTATAAAAAAAATAGACATGGCGAGTTAGCCCTCCCTCTCTCTCGAACTCATGATGTCGATCGACAATTATAAAGAAAATAGACATGGCGAGTTAGCCCTCCCTCTCTCTCGAACTCGCGATGTCGGTCGTCAATTATAAGGAAAATAGACAATGTGAGTTAGCCCTCTCTCTCTCACGAACTCGTGATGTCGATCGTCAATTATAAAGAAAATAGACATGACGAGTTAGCCCTCCCTCTCTCTCGAACTCGCGATGTCGATCGTCAATTATAAAGAAAATAGACATGGCGAGTTAGCCCTCTCTCTCGAACTGGCGATGTTGATCGACAATTATAAAGAAAATAGACATGGCGAGTTAGCCCTCTCTCTCTCTCGAACTCGCGATGTTGATCGCCAATTATAAAGAAAATAGACATGGCGAGTTAGCCCTCTCTCCCTCTCGAACTCGCGATGTTGATCGCCAATTATAAAGTAAATAGACATGGCGAGTTAGCCCTCTCTCTCTCACGAACTCGTGATGTCGATCGTCAACTATAAAAAAAATAGACATGGCGAGTTAGCCCTCCCTCTCTCTCTAACTCGTGATGTCGATCGACAATTATAAAGAAAATAGACATGGCGAGTTAGCTCTCTCTCTCCCTATCTGCTCGCAATCAACGGCCGTTAGAATAAAATGAGAATGCCGTTAGCAAAATAGAACTTTTGATATATTTAGCATTGTTGTTGATTCAGTGCTCATACAATCAATATGATGATATATTTAGCATGCTTAGATGAAAATGATAAGTTGAGACATCCTTTGCGCGTCGAGTACCGTACGGTAACGGTATGCCTTCCGACATATAAGCACGTTTTCTTGTCACTTTGCACAGTAGGTATTGTAACCAAACACATTTAATTTAATATATTTATCCTTACTATTGAAGTTGTTAGTATAAACAGCCACCTTTCCATCTCCCATTACAAGAAGAGCCTCCGCACAGTTGCAGGCTAACCCGTTACCTGCCGTCGCATGGCGAGTGGTCCATGGCGAGTTAGCCGTCAGCCTTTTAATCTAACGTAACCCCCGTTGGAAAAATTCTGACTGCGCCCCTGTGAAAGCCATGCAAGCGAATGCATTTTTTTGACATCTGAATTTAAAAAAATGTATCCGTCCATTATTCACACATGCATATTTGAAAAAAAGACTAGAAGTTACAAATAGGAAGGGGATTAAAATGCATGGTCTTCCACAGGAATTTCTGGTGTTATTGCCAGACCCGCACACTCGTCGTGAGCCCAGAAACTCATCAAATAATTTTGCTCTCGATTACACTGGATGCATTGTAAAGGCCAAGCGCATAATCTTGGTCGTTAAATCGTTGGAAACGAGAATGAAATTACCGAAATTCGAGAGACCGCTGTTCTGTGCGTGACTTTCTGTGACGTCATATCCAGACATCTGACATTTCACGCATCGACAACGGAAGTTCCATTTCAAAGACGCTCATTCCTTTTTTAAGGTTTCAGAATAGCGCGGCAAATCCGGAATCGGGATAGTGTGCCGTACTGTGAATAGAATAACTTGAAAAAAAAATATCTCAAATAAATTTCTCAGGAGAAAACCCTGACCAACAACAAGAAACTCAAGCTCAACTACCATGACCAACAACAAGATCTAAATTCAGCTTCCGATACAGTTTCGCCAACACTTAAACAGTTCTTCGAAAAGGATATACTTTTGGAGACAAGATACGAAAAATGGGACTAATTGTTAACTCAGTATAACTGGATAATTAGTAAATGTGCATACACATAACCAGAGTAACCACATAACTTTCAAGACAAACCAACAGAATGATCTACAAATAAAATTGACCAATATGCTGATGTCATCTTTGCAGTTAGGGTCCAAACATAAGTAAAACATTTCATGAATTACTTGTCAGTGCTTGGCATAACGTTAATAACATAAACAAAAACAAAATTTTATGCATTACTAAAACCTCCCACAACTCCATATAGAAAGTACATAAGAGAATGCTGAAAGTGTCTGTTCCTACTGATGTGTTAACTTAGTACACTATAAACGTACAATTAGTAAAAGCCCCTGCACATAACCAAAGTAACCTCCAAGACACACAGACAGGAATGGCCCCTCAAGGACAGAGAGCACATGGCTACTTCACCTTCACAGCTGGTTGGTCATGATCAGTCATTTGTGACTGATGACATCACAGGTCATGCTCAACCATCTGGAAAAATACTAGTTGCCAGAAATACAATAAAGTTAACACTGAGATTCAAACCATATCGCCGGGTGAGAACAGAACAGGCCTGAGTCACAAATTTGAGTTTTAAGAAAAACGCAAAAAACAATTTGGAATTTAATCATTTTAAACTTCGAGATATTAACGCCGTATTTTAATATGGGTGAAAATATCTTTGTAATCAATATTTTTTGGAACTTTAGTTTTTATTCCTTCCTGCCTTTTTACCCCCATAAATAATTTAGCCCAATTCTGTTTTCAACAACTTCTGAAATTTTTTTGTATAGACATGCTGTAATACAAGGTAACTTAGGCCTAAGTTTCGCCACAGTTCAAATAACCTTCTCCATCAATAAGTTCGTGCATCTAGGACAAATACCTGGCTAATCAATCCCAATAGCCAACATGAACTGGTACATGAAGGGTCGCTAGATGATTAAGTCGTCATATTCGCTTCCTCTGGCACTTCAGAAGTATGTGTACCAATATGGAGGTAGGGTAGGTGATTTTTTTCGTCTACTTTACAGAAAGTTGTGTAAAGGGATTGAAACATATGGGCAGGGAGTATATTCACTTGGCTAACACAGACAGTCCCCGACTTATAATAGGACTAAAATAAGGAAAATCAGAATAAACCTAACCCTATCCTAGTGCACATACTAAGAGGGGTACCCTTCTTCTCTCCCAAGATAAATATGAAAATCCTATCATGAACAAAAATCAAATTCGCCAATTCTGCAAACCCTACCTGTCAAAGTGTTAGTAAGTTGTCCAGTCTCAACCAGCCAAACCTTCACAACCTTGTCGCCCCCTCCAGTAACTACGTGAGTCGAATCAAAATGACAGCAGTGAACAACCTGAGAAAGTAGAAAATAAAAAATTTTCATTCATGTCTTGAACTAGATAACATGGCTTAATTTATAATGTATTTGATATTCAATATTAAAATAAATTTTGGATGAAGTATTATACAGTATATAAAATCGTACAAGGCTGAGGGCCAGATTTTTCATTGAACACATTGATATACAAATATCATCAATATTGCACATCATGATCATCATGAAAAACTGAGACCGCCCGTCTGTCAAAGAGTATATAGCCTTGTTGACATTCATGCAAGAATATAGAAAATATTTTCCCACCAAATTTCTTCGCTAATGTGAATTTTTCAGCAGAAAAGGACCTATAGAAAATTCAACCAAAATCATCAGCACCAAAACCCACTGTAAGCCTCAGTTTACACAGCCTGTATTATTTAGGTATTTATATCTCAGGTCACTATGTTATGCCGACGATGCTCCAGAAGTATGTGTACCAATATGAAGGTAACTAATTTTGTTCGCCTACTTTACATAAAGTTGTGTAAAGGGACTGAAACCTATGGGAAAGGGGATATTCACTTGGCTAACACGACCAGTCCCCAAACTCGTATTTGGCTAACATGAACAGTCCCCAAACTCGTAATAGGAAAAAAAACAAGACAAATCAAAATAAAATTATGGCCTAACCCTAACCTGGTACACATACTACGGGAATACTGTTATGCCTTCCTCTCAGGCCAAGCAAAGCAGTGTACGTTGGCCTTATGACATTTTGCTATAAGCGTACATACCTCACTATGTCCTAATAAAACTTGAGTGCAAACTCCCGAGTCGACGTTCCATATTCTTGCTGATTCATCCCACGATGTTGACACCAGCATGTTACCATGGCAACATAAACTGACAAGGTCATCCACATGACCTTCAAGTGTGTACAAACTACGACCACTTGTGGCGTTCCAGACACGAATTGTTCGATCCTAAAAAAGGAATTGTAATTTCAGAACTTATATAACCGTGATTTCAAAAAATATAAGAATACTAACATTTAATACAGGTCCCATATCACAAGCAGGGGCGCAGACCGTGGGGGTTCGTGACCCCCCTCAATTTAAAAAGTTTTCGATGCAGAAATTCTACCTTCTACTTAAAAGTAACGACGTCATTCTACAGCCAACGCATCACGATTTTGTGGTCAACGATGGTGTTATCACAGTAATGCAATTAACACCACCAGACCCAATCGTCTTTATGTTATGTTATTTTTCCAGTTGGCATTGATAATGACGCTCATTTCCGTGACAATTGAGATACTTACCTTAGGCATCGTTCATGCTGATTATTGATAAGCGATGGCACAATATTCAGAATCAAGTGATAAATCATTCATATTGCATGGTATGGCCTATTAATGAAAAATTGGTATGGTATGGCCCAACTGTGGCAGCATCGAAAGAATGTATATTAAGAATATACAGGGTGTCCATATTAAGTAACTTTACAATTTCAATTTTGTTATGAAGTCTTTTTTTCAATATATCTTAACCAGGTTTGTTGTTTTCTAATTAGTAATTGTAATTAGTAATCTAATTAGTAATTAGTATTTTCAATTTAAATATATCTGTGAGGGCCAAAACAATATATTGCATCAATAAATTCCTATTGCAATTTAAAATTTTTTTAAGACTTTATGGACACCCTATATTACAGGAGGATGGATATTCATCCTTCGCTGTTTGAAAACTCTCAATAGCAATTGCCCATGCCGGCAACCTGGGTTAGGTAATTCAGAAATGGGAAGATTTCGTTCCTTTTAAAAATAATAGTTCCTTACAAATTTGTAAATTTCAGTGGCCTAGAAGCCCTAGTTTGGAGCAAAAGGCTTCATATAAAATATAAAGATGGTTGGACGGGTAAATTAAAGTCTTGATAAATAGTTTTTTCATTTAGTTTTACAATCCTATGCATATTAGCATCACCAAACTAGTAAAGTCAATAAGATACCACATATGATAGCGTGGTTGACAACTAAGAGGTTACACGATACTAACTCCTAATCCTCTGTCAATGCCTTTGCGCTAGTGGATTCGAATGCATGTAATGTAAGAATGCTGTAGCAGGAATAAACATGATCATACTATGCAAACCAAAAGTCTTGCTGCACACTAACACAGAACATACAGCAATCCATACCAGTGTTAACTCTAAGCAAATTATGAGTGCGAAAGTGCTTCGCAGTCCAAAAAAAAAGTGCGAAAGTGCTTTTGCCGATTTTAACAAGTTAGGTGCCCTAGCCTTTCATAAAACCCATTTAAAACGGCATATATACTCGAAAAAGCGCTCCTCCGGTTAATATTATGAATTAAAGAGAAGCCTTTTCGTTAACGGAGTTCCCTTTAAGCGAATTCATGTTTAATTAAAACAAGCGAATTCATCGGCAACGAAATGACATCTGCTAACACCTGCCGCGGACAAAACTTTCATGCAATGTATCACGGTGTCAGTTGCTTACTCGCGTAAACAGCAAAGACTTTCACATTTGTTACTCCTTCCAGCTAACAGACACAGGCCGGCTGGAAACCATATTAGTTACAGGGTGGATCGTTTGTACAAATCCGGTGCAAAATAATAGAAGCTAGAAATTCAACTTTTCGATTCATCCCTAAACCTAATCTGATAATTATTAATTTGTGATTTTGAACCACTTTGAAAGTCGCCACCCGCTGTTTTAAAAGAGGTTAAGGTTAACCTACGTTCCTTCCGAAATATTATGCAGGATACTCCCCTGTATTAGGAGATAGGTTGACCTACTTTCCTTTCAAACTTTTTTCTCCGAAATATTACACAAGATCACTTTGAAAATCCTCCCGTTTCGTGAGCTAGCGTGACCTAATTTCTCATTCACATTTATATTATACTATTTCAGAGCTTACCCAAAGACAAGTAATTTTTAAATGTCCACATGCCTTGGTTTGCGTGCGAGTTAGTTTAAATCAGGCAGAAAACATCATATATTGGCAAAATGTTTAGTAATGTCATGTACTTTCAGCATTCATAAATAGCACTCATTGTAATGCTGCTGACCTAGTATCAAATATTCGCATCACAACGACACTTGCGTGGTTTCCATATATTTCAATTACACTAATAGGAACGATGTCATCAAAGAGTTTTCTTTTGCGAAGGTACACCAAATATAACGAGGGTGATTCTGGAGAAAAACATGAATATAAAAAATAAACGAATGATATGATAATGGATCCCAAATAATTTTGAGAGTGTCTCGAAATACCAATCCATTTGATAAATAATTTTTATTCGACCACATGAACGCTGATATCCTGAAAATTAATGTTGAAAGAGAATTACGCATTCTCAGATATCGGACATCCAGTCGCGATATTCAATCGTTCATAAGCACAAATCTCACATTAATAGTAATTGCTACCCAAGTTTGTAAATTTTAGAAACCAACAAACAGAAAATAACTAACCTAAAACACAATTAAAATTCAGTCAGCAATAAATTCGTCGCCAAGACGATGCCATACAAAACAAAAAAGATTTGGTCGCGAGAGTTACGTGAGATGACTGCCAATGTTTTTTAAGCAGGATGTAAAAAAAATTATATTTAATAAACGGGAGTTACGACGCCCTTTACACATCGTGTGTGTTAAACTTCCCTGGTGTGTACTTTGGTAAGTACTATTATTATTGTACCTATACACCTGTTGGAGTATTTCGGACAATTTCGAATTTAAAATAAATGAAAACCAGACATATAATAAAGACGCAAAAGTAAAATGAACATTTATTGAAAAAGTTATTATTTAAGAAAGACAACATGATCGTACAATTCCGCCAAAACCTCGATGTTCGCAAGTAGGATGATAAATAAATACTTCCCTGTATTCGATCAATTAACTTTAGCGTATCATTGTTCTGCCAACAAACAGCGGGGTGCAAAATATTTCCGTCCTGTGATATGCTCAAATATTCTCGATATTAATATCATACCCTCGCGTATGTACTTTCTATTAGCTCTTTAGTGATCCCTTCCATCCTTGGCCAAGTCATGTTTCGAATATGTGAACATTTTATTCGACCATACATGGCCGGCGGGATGTTAAAATTGTAAACAAGAGAGAGGTAAAATCAATCGCGAATTTCGTTATAACGGCTCGTTTACGAATTGTTGCGCCTGTTATCGTCGAAAATTATTACATTTGCTGTATTTTGAGGCATCTAAGCAGTAATAATTAGGGCATGACATCATCAAAATCGTCAAGTGAGATCTTGAAATTGCAAATTCCGTAAATAAAATTGCGAATTATTCGGTAACGAATTCAGCTTTAATGACCGTCGGGGTATTGTTTTGTTGAAAATTATTATTAATTTGAGAGCGCCAAAAACATACAGTCCATAACGATGCGACTGCAATTTATATGGTCGCAATTGGTGTGGCGCGTTTATTAATAGTGTAAAATAAATTAAACGAATATCAATTATAACCAAGCCTGTCAGCGTGTTTATTTTTTGTGGGCAGGAATTGTAAAATACCATCTTGAGACAAATTCACTTCTATTATAAAATCTTAATTTTCAGTTATTATTATCGTTAACAGATTCATCGAAGACCTTAATTAGGGAAAATATGTATTTTATTGGGAATGCAAAATAAATGTAACAAAACGCATTTTTTGTGATATAACTTTGTATTTTCGAAAACGTGTTGCCGTGAAAGGTAAAATTTGATCTAAATTAATTGCAAAAATGTTTTATTTTAAATGTAACAAAACACATTTTGCGATATAACCTTGTATTTTCGAAAACGGGTTTCCTGAAAAGTAAAATATGATCTAAATTAATCGCAAAAATGTTTTATTTTACAGGTAACAAAATGTAGCAAAATATGATCTAAATTCACCGTAAATAATGTTTCATTCCAAATGTATCATAACGCATTTTTTTGCGATATAACTTTGTATTTTCGAAAACGGGCGTCACGAAAATTATTAATTTAATGTTTTATCTATCGTCTAACTAACGTCTGGAACACATCATTTTCGGGGAGAACTCTAGCCCGCGAAACGTCATTTAATTTAAAATAGAGAGTGTTTCACGCATTTCAAAACGGAAAATCACCAGTAAGTGGACAGGGATTCGGATTCAGTATTCTATATCCCTGTGTCAGAACTTTCTGAAGAATGGAACAAAGAACCCGTCAAACCGCCGCGGAAGAAGGGGAGTATTTTTTGCACTAATAATTAGGGCGTGACAACATCAAAATCGTCAAGAAACTGGTGAATTTGCAAATTCCATAAATAAAATTGTGAATTGCTCGGTAACATTTTAGCTATAATTATCGCCTGGGTATCGTTTTGTTGAAAAAACGTTGAAACTTGAGGGAATTAGTTACAATTAGCGCCTGACCTCTATTAGGCACTCGAGCACTCGAAAAAAAAAGCACTCGAGCCCAATCTTTTTAGCATTAAGTCGCATACGTAAAATATCCTGTAAAAGAAGTGCTGTTCATTAACGTCATCTCGTCTTATGACCACGCAGAAATGCCTTTATAGCCAAATTATTCAATCACTATTTCAAATCAACATTCAGGATTGGCACAATTTCAGATTTGCGAAGTTTATCACCATAGAAATACATGAAAAAGTTAATTATCGTCTTAATAATAAATATCTGCATCACGGTATGGACAATAATATTACCATTCGCATAAAATTGGGACGGTAAATTTACAAATCTTGATAGGTAATATTGAAGCCAGCGCAAATGTTAATTTGAGTCCTCATCTCAATGTCTTCAACAGCTGTTGCCGATGTGAACGAACGGGTAAACCCGAAATATAAAACTTCGATGTCCGCCGACCCACAAGAATTCATATTTGTAAAAAAGAGAGGGCGGGAATATAGATTACCCAAAACCTGGATATCGCCGCCAAAACCATCGGTGACAAGAACAATTAGCGATTACAACGGAATTAACCAGTAAAAAGTCTTTGTTGCCGATTTTTTAATGTTTCCACCACGTTTATTCGATACTCCTTAAAAATATTCGATTTAAAAAAATATTGAATTTTGCTCACCCCTCCTCGCATATCAATGAGAAATAGTTGTGTAAATATCGCCAAATTCCGGAAAATGCCACGTCCTTTCAACATTGTGATTGCAATAAAATGGCACTTAATGGTATTTTGTGAATTTGTTGATTTTGCAAATCTGTGACATGCTGCTAAAAGTTTCGTCTGATTTGAAAATCGTGCAGTTTGGTCACAATTCATCCAAAGTGACTATAACAGGTTACTAACACTTTTTATAGTCAATTTGAATTCACCGATATCATCGATAGTCACATGACCACTCTCGTTCAAATAAACGCCCCGGGAGCGTTTTTTGCGGGAGAAGCGGAATCCCTGTGCTTGTAAAATAATCATATTATAAACAAGAATTTTGCCGTTAATGCAAAAGCTTTATCTCCTATGTCTGCATCTCATAGGTTAGAATTCCGGTAAATATCGTTATGATATGCAGAATTGAGTTACAAAAGTACCAGTAACTTAATACTCGAAAATATTTGTTAACTTTGAATTTTTATTCCATTCAAAATCGGAAAAAAGTGCTATTTCTCTTCAAAATCGGAAAAAAGTGCTATTTCGCAGTCCCTAAAAAAAGTTGCGAAAGTGCTTCGCAATTTTCGCAAAAAAGTGCGCTAATAGTGAACACTGATCCATACCATAGCTCTCTCGTTACAAACAACTTATTAATAATTAAGTAATTTATTAATATATTAACCCCCTGCTCAAAGCGCTGGAGCGTTCTACCTCATAGAAGTTGTCCAGGAGAGGTGGGAAGAGGGAAAAAAAAAAGTGTTTTATATTGGTGTACAAACACCCATTTTAATATAGAAAATAATGAAATATTATGGTACATAGTCCTGCTGCACATTAACAAAAATGTAATTTTGTAACAGTACATACAAAAAATATTTGTGTGCACCAGACTTTTCAATTGCATAGTATGATATTAGATAGCAAACAGTTACAAAATATTATCCCGGTTAGTACACGTACTCCTTTTTAATGTTGAACGAAATTGCCAGAACTTTTCAAAGGAAGGGGTTCAGGAATTCTTAATTATCAAGTTAGACAATAACAACTAGCGACTGGAAAACACAGGTTTTGAAGAGACTTGAGTGTCTAAAAGGGTTCCCGTACATTTGAACCCACGACAATTGCACCTGGAATTTTTTTTCGTTTCCCTAACCCATGGGTTTTAGAACCCGCATATAGATTGAACCCGCGGATATACACATGGGTTCAAATGTACGGTCACCGTCTAAAAGTGTTTCAAGCTATGGAGAATTGCTATGTATATAACAGGAAAATGTTTTTTTTTACAGCTCCGACCCTTAACCCCACATGGGTAGCACTGGTTGGGGTCTCGAGCCATTAGCTCGAATAATAAGTCACTGAAATTAAAATACTCTGACCCGTCAATAATTAAACACCAGTAAGTTTAACAACCGATTCCTCACCTGAGATCCACTTATTATTCGGTTCCCATCAAAACAGATGCAATGAACAGAAGATGTGTGACCTGGAATAGATATTAGTGAAGGAAATTTTAATAACTTTCATATGGTGAAAAAAGGCTTGACTGCAGTGTTCTAACCCTAAAAAGCGTTATGTACACAATTGGGTACTCCCGAAGTATGTGAACCAAGATGGTGGACACCGGAACATAGTATGTGTACCAGGTACATATACTACGGGAGTCACTTGGCTAGTTCCCAAACTCGTAATAGTACTAAAATAAGTAAAATTGGAATAAAATAATGGCCTAACCCTAACCTGGTACACATATTACAATCCGGTATCCGCCATCTTGGTTGACATACTTCAGGAGAACCCACATGCGCCATTACACACAGAGTTAACAGAATACACTACCATTTGGTTGGGTGGCCGCTAGAAAATCAGAAGGTCAGATGAGATAATAAATAAAATGCGTATAGGTATAGGTTGAATTGAAACAATATTCCACAAGTCAACCATCACAACCCTACACGAACTTGGGATTGATTCTTTTTTAAAACACTGCTCTGAGGTGCACGGACGATATTTTGAGCTTCTATGAGTGTAATATAACATATGGCTTTATTATAGAAATAGGTAACAAAAACAAATTTTCTGTTTTTACAGTGCCCACCTTGTATATTCTTGAAAATTATTTTTGACTGAATGTAATAAAATTGTGCAATATCTAACGAATAACATGTCCCATTCAGCATCCAGTTTTTTGAGTTTGAATTACTGAAGGAAGAAAAACCGAGATAATTGGGATTTATTATATTATCACCATTTTCAGAAATTACTATGACTTTTTGGTAATACTTATGGATGGTGTTACTTTATTCACCTCTAAACAAAATAATTTTAAAGCGTGGTTTAATAAAAACAAAGATAGTACCTTTCAATTGTCCAAGGCATTTTCCTGTGCTGAGATTAAAAATTCTGACAATTCCATCGGCACATCCTGTGACCAGAAGATTATTCTTTATTTTAAGAGCTAGAACTGAATCTGGGTGTTTGAGAACATGGACGGATGAATATGACAACAAATCCCATACAATTGCAGACCTGTTCAATATTGAAATTTAGGAATAAATGTACATACAAGAGCAGTGGTTATCAAATGGTGGGGCACGCCCCATAAAGCATAGGTAACTTTTTAATAGGGCGTGAAGCTAAATCAAAATATTTGGTAGATTTGATCCCGCTTTATGGGGCGTAGACACACCACAGAGATATTATAAAGTACCTAAGAAGAAAGCAATAAACTTGAGAAAAATTACTTACTAAACAAAAAATATTTGAAGAAAAAAAAAATTATTTGTCACACCATAATAATAATTTTATAACGGTTGAGAAATAATATTTACCGATCATCGCTACCGGTTGCCAAATACTTCCCAGAACAATGCAAGCAAGTTATTCTTTCTTTATGGCCTCGTAACGGAGGATAAACTGTGTATCTGCCAGTTTCCCAATTGTTTTGAAGATGGTGGGCTCGGACATAAACATCTTTCCACCTGTGAAATATACAACAATGATAACAAATGAAAACAAAAGTTTATGCCCACAAATGGGTACTTCTGTAGTGTGTGTACCAGGTTAATTTTATTTCAATTTTCCTCATTTTAGTACTATTACGAGTTCTAGACTGTCTGTATTAGCCAAGTGATATACTCCCTGTCCATAGGTTTCAGTTCCCTTACACAACTTGATGTAAAGTAGGCGAACAAAATTAGTTGCCTCCATATTGGTACACATACTTCCGGAGCGCCCACAAATGAACCCATGTCATGAACATAACTCATTTACAAATAAAATACGATCACTAGAATACCCAATTCTAAAATTATTTAGCTGAGACCCCAGGCCCGAGAAAATTCGAAACAAGTAAATATAAGTAGCAGCCTCTAAAGCTCTAAGATCTACTGAAAACTTATTGAAAGCTCTTTCTTAAGCAGAAGGAATACAGATAAGATGTTGATCTTGATTAAGCCGTCTCATTGTCTTCCCTGTTAATCAGAATAACTATGAAAACTCCAGTGATTGCTTGTAAACTTCGCCAATATGCGAAAATGGGCACTCCTGATGAGCCCTGAAGTGTGTGTACTCTGTACCAATATGGAACAACTAATTTTGTTCGCCTACTTTATATCAAGTTGTGTAAAGAGACTAGAACTTATGGGCAGGGGGGTATATTCACTTGGCTAACACAGACAGACTACGGGAGTACCTTTGAGTTCACCATTTGAACTGGGAAACAAATTGAAGTCCTGTGAAATTGAATTAAGAAAAGCAAATGTAATTGACCTAAAACTGATGTGGTACTTCACAAAATAGGAAGTCACACGTTAAACAGTATTATTGGCTCTCCAGAAGTATGTGTAACAATATGGAGGTAAGTAATTTTGTTTTTCTATTTCACATCAAGTTGTGTAAAGGGACTGAAACCTATGGGCAGGCGGTATGTATATTCAATTCCCTAATACGGACAGTCACGGAACTCGTAATAGAACTAAAATAGGGAAAATCAGAACAATTCGTGCTTTTTTATTATATTTTTTCACACATTTAAATAAAACAAGTATCTACATCTATTGTTCTTGTGTTAGAATTTTTATTCAAAGCACAATAATTAAAACTAGCTTAAAACATGAATTTCGAGACAATACATAGGATCAGAGAAACAGCACGCTTGCATAACAATGTTGAAGTGTGAGTAACAATGCGGAATTAGAACCATGCGTTCGGTGGCAAAACATCGTGATTCATATAACTTTGCTTTTATCATAGCATTTTTAACGTGAACAGAAGTGGCGGGAAATTTTAATGCATTGGAAGGCGTTGCGAGCTCAAAAGTTCGGGATGCACTGCTCTAAAACACCATGACTATCTGCGGATATGAAAATGTCAAATAAACTGCTGGAATATATTTTGTTTTGATACCTATTTTCGATACGGATACATTTAAAATGTCTTGCTTTATTGTTTTCAACTTAACCTGCGGTTGACCTGACAAAATATAGGCATTACCCCTCTGAAATATCACCGTATTTAGCGGATATAAAAATGTGAGGTGAAGTGCCAGATTATTTTTATTCGATTTCGTGAATTCAACAAATCTGATCTGTTCTTGCATCACTGACTTAGCTCTGTTTTAAAGATAATACCATTTTAAAAATCCCCGGGTCTGTTATAAAACCATATAGAATAAAATTCATTTTAGTACCATGAAAATCGATTGAATTTACTTTACATCGATTATCTTATATAGCCTATCAGGCGCTGCCGGTAATTTTGGAATTGTTCAAAAGGTACATTGTTCATCCAACAATAATCTAAAATTCCCTGCTTTTCTCACCTGCATACTGGAGGAAGTTCCGTGCATGTGTGAGGAACAAAATGAAAGGAGGGGGATGTTAAAGGACTTTGCGGAGGGGCTGATGAAGAGGGAGCTGCATAGAGATCACCACTACCTGAAAAAAATATTATTTTTAAAATTTGTTACACTCAGAAATTACTGTATGAGACTTATACAAGGGAGATTTTTGTATAAAAGGCAAAGAAAATCAAACTAAATTTCACAGAATTTGTTTCATTTTACCTGTCTCATCACCAAAATGCATCCAATGACTTTTCTTGCAGAGTAATTTCCATAATTTACTATTATTTGAATGTTCTCTCCATTGCTTACTACAAACTGACACACGTCCAAGTTCTTTGGGCGACAGAAATGAAAATATCAATTCAATGAGTTCTCGAGGTAAAAAAGTCACAAAATCTATCGCTAATAAAGGCTGGAGTTCGTTATATACAAGTTGTAGTTGCTTCCGCTTGCATTTTCTCAGTATTTGTTTCAAAACCTTGTTTTGATCACCAGTTGTTAGGTCGGTAAACGCATCAATTATCTTTTCCATTTGCTCCGATGATGATTCCATTCAATTAAGGCTAAAATTTGTGTAAAATATCAGCTTCAACTACATTATGATCTTGAATTAAGTGAAAAATATTATTCCCGGCTGTATCACTGTATCATAAGGTGAAAAACAGCCTCTTGTACGGTTGCCAGTTCAAGTAGGGTTGGGGATTAGTTGGTGCCTGAATAAAGTAACAGTAAACGATATTATTTCAGACTTTCACTTTAGGAACTTCTGAACTCTGTTACTACTGTCAGACTGTACTAATGAAAATCATTAATGCAGCAATAATCAAAACAAATCCCCTCTAACATAAATGTTAAAGTGACATATGGCAGTATGGGTAATCTAACGTATGCATTTCTGTATCTGCGGCGATGAGTTATGGCATCTAGTACGGCACACTATACAAATCGGGTGACATTGTCCCGTTGCAGAGAAACCCATTTTACAGATGATCAGACACCCCTCCTTTGGGGGACGTCTGGACATTGTTGTCCCTCAACAGTGGTGTAGCCAGGGGGGTGGTTTTGCGGGTCGAACCCCCCCCCCCCTTTTAAAATGTAAAAAAAAAGAAAATCATTTTTCTGTATCATAGATAGCCATTTTCCGTAGCTTAAAATGCTTTTTACCCCAAGACTACTAAAAGCACGCGTATCCCAGCGTTCGATCGGACCCGCTAGCTGTTTCGATCTAACTTGGCAAATAAAAATTTCAGAACCCCCCTTTTTGAAAATTTCTGGCTACACCCCTGTCCCTCAATATCGGTAATAATACAGTATAATGGATACTACAAAAAAGCGCAATCTAGTAATTTTTACCGTAGCATTCGAGAGTTTTTAGCAAAAAACAGCAATGTTGGTCATGTGACAGCCGCAATTAACTTAGATTATGGCAGTTTGAACTGGCAATAGTAACGGCATGGAGCCATGGTTGGTCATCAATCGATCAATTTTATTTTGGTACCTCTGAAAGAAAGAAAACAACAACAAATGGACAAAAAAAATGCAGAGGACCCTGGAGGACGACATAACTTAATGAAAAAGTTAAAAACATACAAGTAATTGCCCGTCCACCAAAAACAGTCAAACGAACACAATAAAATAAAGACACGATGTAAAATCGGGCAATGCTTTTTAAAATCAATTTTAATATGTGAGACACTGACAGACTGATCAAAAGAAGATCATGGCAATACTTTATACAAACTAGAATTCAGAAAAGAACAAAAAAATTGTGGCTGCGGTTCTTATGTGGTGATTACAAAAAAAAAATTGATTGTTCAGTGAAATTTTATTACATAACAAACGTAAATCACGAAAATGAACTACCGTATGTATGTGAGAAAGTGACAGGCATAGACTTGCTACAACAGACAGAATCGTTACACAGTTAAATACCGGTACCGTAAACGCAGGTAACTTCGGATGGTTTATAACTTCGGATGAAATTTTCAATCGTTTATATCTCGACTAAATTACGTCATATTCTGCTTCTGGCAGTTTCTATAGAGAGTCCTTATATATCTTAATCTCTTATCATATTCAGTCGCCTAATAGGATTTATTTTTTGACACAAAAAATCACCTTTTTGCCAAAAATTGACACCTCGCTTTTGAGCGGCTAAAATAGCGACTTCTATCGACGCTAACTTCACTAAAAGACCGTCAATCGCTAGAGGGCATACACAATGTACAAGGAAAATTACAGTGATCACGATATGTCGTACGAGATTCAAGTAAAATATATTATTTTGATTTAAAAATTTCGTCAAAATATCGACGTTACGGTGCTTACGCTGAACGTGACGTCAACAACGTGATTCAATTTCGCTCCATTTAAGGCCGACGTCACATTGCGTAACTCGCTGCGACATTTGAACGCCAGACTATGTGGCGCCACGTGTAGTTAAATATAAAGTGAAAACTCCTACCTGATCCTCGTCACCAAATCCTACAAAAACTTAATTATAGCCCCGGTCATATGCTGTTTATTTATTGTGAATCCGATTAATGCACATTAAATTTGTGTGTTAACATTTCGGCATTCTTCGACCGTATAGATGTTGTTGATACGTAAGGCTGATGAACAGCCAGATACGCGTATCTATACTATCACAATGACAAGGTTTTACGATCGGCGATGATAATATATTAAAAGTAGAATGTTGCACAGGTGAGCATGAAACGCTGCACAGGTGCACACAGCAGGATATTGGAGGTTTTTGGCGTTTTTATCCGTTTCATGTCTATCTGCCTGTGAATACATTATATCTGAATTATCAACTCGGCCACAAGCTACACTGTTCCATATTGTTGTCCACTTCCATTTTTTTTTACTTTTACTACCTACCGTAATTCATCATCCATTTTTCTTTTTTATTATTTTCATTCGTTTCATTTTTGTTTTGTATTAAAAATTGTTTTCCATTTTTACTTTTACGACTTATTTTATTCGTCCGTTTTTTATTTTCATTTGTCCATGTTGTCTCATTTTGTTTCGTATTGAAACGATCATAATAGCAAGATATAGCACTTTCATGAAATTAAGAATAGTCAAGAGATAAATGGTTTAGTTTTGCGAAACGTCAGGAATAGGGCTGGGCAAAATTATTACATGCGTTGTATTTTGAAGCATTTAGCGGTAATAATTATGGCGCGACACTGTCAAAATCGTCGAGTAAAGTGCTGAGTTCGCAAATTCCGCAGATAAAATTGTGAATTAGTCGGTAACGGTTTTAGCTATAATAACCGTTGGGGTATTGTTTTGTTCAAAAAAGTTAAAACTTGAGGGAAATAGTTATAATTAGTGTCCGAACCCGCTATCAGGACCAAAAGCCTTATGACAAGTATAAATGCATAACGGCCGATTTATTCAATCATTATTATAAATAAAAATTCAGTATTCGCACAATCGCGGGTGCAAAGCATAACAACATCAATCATCGTCTTAATAAATATCTCCATCTCGGCGACGATAATAATATCACCGTTCGCTTTAAACTCGAACGATTAACAGTATACAAACGGTGATAAGTAAGATCAAAGCCAACACGTAAGATTAAATCAGAACAAAATTAATTTGGGTTTTGAAATCAGTCCTTCTTGTCTTCAGGAGCTGTTGCCGATGTAAACACACGGGTACACCAGATATATAAAACTTTGATGTCCGCCGACCCGGAAGAATTAATAATCACAAAAACGGCCGTCATAGATGAACGTCAGTGTGCGACACGCAAAACGAATCACGGCGTCGTAAGTTCTACGCAGCGACGTTATCACGCGTCACTGATCACGCAGACATTTCTCTCTCACGACGAAGTGACGCAAAGCGAAAAGTGGCCATCCGAAGTTATAAACATTTGGAATACAGATCGGCAGGCAAATAAAGTCAATAATTTGAATGAAAAAAAAGTATTGATTGATATGAAACCGAGTTTATCGCGAGGAGAAAGGCTTCAATGTATTATATTCCAAGTTTGGCTTCAATTGAACAATAAACGGCGGAGAAATTGTTCATAATATAGTGAAATCATCCGAAGTTACCTGCTTTTACGGTACCTGGCTGCAATCAGTACTACATATATAACTGGGGTCTGGTATAGTTTAGTACCACATCCACTTCTAGTTGGCTTGGCTCAACAATTTTTGCATATGTCAATCCTAACCCCCACCTGACCGGTACCGTAAAACCGGCTAACTTCGGATGATTTCACTATATTTTGAACAATATCTCCGCCGCATGTTGTTCAACTGAAGCCAAATTTGGAATATAATACATTGTGGCTATTCTCGTCTTGATAAAGTCGGTTCCATATCCATCAAAGCCTTTTTTCATTGAAATTATTGTCTTTATTCGTCTATTCTAAAATTATCTAACTTCGGATGCCACTTTTCTCTTTGCGTCAACTCGTCGTGAGAGAGAAATGTCTGCGTAAGCAATGACGCGTGACAACGTCGCTGAATAGACCTTACGCCGCCACGACCTGTCGTGCGTGTTGAATACTGACGTTTGTACGTGACGTTACTCTTGCCGCTTCGCGAAGCTTAACTATTTATTCTTGTGTCCTTTATTATAACTCGTATATATTTCACTAACTACTCCTAATTTATTGGAAAATGCTAGTTCGTTCTTTTATAATCGTTTATTTTCAATGCAAGAAAAGGATTAACAAAAAAAAAAACGGAAGAATTGAAAGTACCTAACACTGGTGTAGGTTGAAATTGAAATGCAATATGGAACAAGTAAAGAATGAACAAAAATTAGACAATTAAAAATAAACGGATGAAGCGAATGAAACACTGGCAAAAGTAAAAATTGAAATCAAAAAGCAATATGGAACAAGTAAGGTATGAACAAAAATTCGACAGTTAAAAATAAACAGATGAATTGAAGGAAACGCTGGCAAAATCAAGAATTGTAATCATTTCCACATGGGTTAGACGGGTCTTTGCAACAGTTCTTGTGGAACCAATGTGTTTCGCTGCAGCTTTCGCAACCGACCCATTCCACCTCAATTTCCGTACTTCCATTTGGATCATTCCATAATCCACAAGCAGAGCAGGTTTCGTCTTGATTATCACTTTTCATATTTTCTGATTTTCTCAGAGCTCCCTGTTGATCGGCTCGGCAGAGGTTCCTGCCCGGTGTGACTTTCGATCCTCGCTTTCGTTTCACTTAATAAAGTCAAATGACAATAAACGGATAAAAACGGCAAAAAGAAACTTTGCCACTTTTTTTCATTTTGCGCCTCACCTGTATGTGGTCCAACCTCCTGCTGTGTGCATGTATGTAGAGTTCTACGCTCACCTGTTAAAGATATTATTATCATCTGCCGACATATCTAATCTACAAACATATCTAATCATTATGATCGTATAGATACATGTTTCAGGCCTAACGTATTACCAATTGCTACGGTATCTATCGGTGTTGGAGGAAGTATGCAAAAACAAAAATCGACAAATTTCATATGCATTAAGCGTATGCATACCCATATTTTTGAATAAACAACATATGACTGAGACGATAGTGATGTTTTTGTAGGATTTAGTGACTAGGATCATGGATAAGCATAATTTTTAAATTTCACAAAACTGGGCGCCGCGATGTCTGGCGTTCAAATGTCGCAGCGAGTAACGCACGAGCTACGCAAAGTGACGTCGGCTACGAAGAGAGAGAACGGGATTTGCGTCGTTGACGTCACGCTGTACGTAATCATCAAAACGTCGATATTTTGATGTAATTTTTAAATCAAAATAATCGATTTCACTCGAATCTCGTACGACACCTTGTGATCACTGTATTTTTTTGTATACATTGTGTACGCTCTCTAGCGCTTGGCGGTGATTTGACGAAGGTAGCGTCTGTAGAAGTCACGATTTGAGCCGCTCGAAAAAACGGTGTCATTTTTTTG